CAGTATTCAGAAAGTCTGAGAAAGGCCGTCTTTATTCGGACTCGAGACCAAATAACATTTTTTCATATATTCGAACTCGAGTCTGAATTAAAAAAATTCTTATTCAGACTCGAGTCCGAATATGAAAAAATGTTATTCGGACTCGGGTCCGGAAAAAAGGAAGTGTCTTCATTCTATAGACTAACGTTCAGTGCTTCCAATTTTCCGCCATTTTTTTGTTTCCCCCACACCTTTTCTTCCGATCCAATGCCCGCCGCCTCATTGATACGCCCCCCCCCCCCATGTTTCCCACTTTCTTTGTTGCAGAAAAAAGTAAAATTGAAGATTAGCAGACCACATGGCACCTGATGAGCTGTGTAAAAAAAAAAAAAGACTGATTCGTTCAAATATACACAAGCCTGTGTCATCTCGATTGTTTACCAAGAAAAAGTTGTATTGCTGTGTAGAGCTGAGCATACGGCAACTTTTGATTCCATAGACCAGCGCACAATTCCTTACGTAGATCTACGTCAAGACAAGATTATTATTGTAATAATGATCAGTTGCCGGGGGAAAAAAGACTGACGCGTATGCGACATTCAACGCCTGGACCGATAGTGCCCCCCCACCCCCCTTCCCGACACGCACATTGCCACACGTGTGCAGGCCGCCCATCCGACCCCGACACACGCTAACGAGCCATCTTTAATTGCTTCTGATGACCTCTTGACAAATAAACATTTATCAGTAAGCGCTATAACTTTTCAGGCCGGCCTCAAATTCATAAAAACTCGGCTCCTGCACAAAACGCCATTTTGCCCCTTAGTGATCCCGGTCTCTACCCAGCCTGAGGCGAGTCATGATTGAGGCAGGACAGGAAGCCGGAAGTCGGAAGTGATGTCATGCTGGACAAGAATCAGAGTCCGAATAACATTTTCTCATAATTGTCACTTCGATTCAGAAAGAGACAGAGAGAGAGAGACGGGAGGAGTAGATCTTGCGAGAACTTCCGGGCAAAACAAAATGGCGACCCGCGTAGTTCGGCTCGATTAGAAAAGTGAAATAGCCATAGCATCTTTGATGACGATCAACGTAATTTTTTCTTGGCTTTTATCAAGGCCACCTCTATTCTCACCCGGGATGAGAATAGTGCAGGCGAGTCTTTTGGCTATTCTCACCCGGTGCGTGTTCACCGTTATAGCCTAGATCTAGGCCAACAAATTTTGCGTTCACCCTAAACCACAGAATTCTACACTGTGATAACAGATAACAGAAAAATTGTAGAAATCTGTGCCATGAACAAACGTTCCATTACAACTGTAGCCTACTAAAAGCGTACAATTTTGTCTGTGGGCAGTGGAGAGAGAGAGAGAGAGAGAGAGAGAGAGAGAGAGAGAGAGAGAGAGAGAGAAAGAGAGAGAGAAAGAGAGAGAGAAAGAGAGAGAGAGAGAGAGGAGTAGCGCAAAAACTTCCGGTCAAAACAAAATGGCGACCCGCGTAGTTCGGCTCGATTTGAAAAGTTAAATAGCCGTAGCATCTTTGTAGACAACCAAATTAATTTACTTTTGTGTTTTAACATCATTTTTTAACTTTGTTTTGGTCAATTTGATCGTCCACACCGATAGACAGTATTCAGAAAGAGACAGAGAGAGAGAGAGAGGGGAGGAGTAGATCTTGCGAGAACTTCCGGGCAAAACAAAATGGCGACCGGCGTAATTCGGCTCGATTCGAACAGTGAAATAGCCATAGCATCTTTGAAGACGATCAAATTAGCTTACTTTTGTGCTATAACGTAATTTTTTCTTGGCTTTAATCAATTTGATCATCCACACCGATAGACAGTATTCCAAAATGAGGAAAAGCAGGTCTTGTTTCGCACCGGGTGAGAATAGCCTACGCTGGCAAGTCTCACCCGGGGTGAGAGGTAGATCGTTTTTCTATTCTCACCTCGGATGAGAATAGCCACTTCCTTTATCAATCTGATCATCCACACCGATAGACAGTATTCCGAAAGGGAGTGTACACAGACCAGGTAACCGGGAACAAATTCAGAAAGTATACAGTCCCGGAAGGGGAACTCTTTTGTGCTTTCGGACACGGCGCACCGGCAGTGGAATTTTAGTTGCCGCGGGGGTTCCCCGCCGGGCGCCTTATCACGTCGGGGTCACGGGGGTCACATCCCTGTTGCCGCTCTGTCTGGGCCGACTTAATTTTTGGTACTTTTCAACGTACAATTTAAGGTGTATCCTTGTATTTATGGCAATTCTCATTTAGTGCACCCAAAGCACGCATTTCTGCTCTTGAGACTCAAAAAAGAACGGACGTTGTAACTTGTCTGGTTATTTCGTTAGATGCGCTGGAGTCGGCAATGCTAAATTGTAATTTTTTTAGGACTAGCGTGAATGAAAAAAAATCAATATAAAAAAACGCATCGTCAAAATCTGTCGAACTTTTGGAATATGAACAACATAACATTAGTGCAGATACTCAGAAAAGATGGTATCTGCACTTATAATAGAAGGCTGTAATTTTGCAATTTAATCCATCGGGCACACAATTCGCTACGAAGTAATTCCTCCAAATACAACTTTATGTGTCTAATATAATTATGAATATTCGCATATTTTCTCGAAAGTTTATAAAAGTTATCATGAAGTTTCTCAATGAAAAGTACAAATCGATTTTAGTGCTAGAATTTATCTTCAACGTAGATCTAATACACGAACAGTATCTGTTACACTCCAGAAATTCCTTACTTAAATTTCTTAAAACGCTAAGTCTAGGTTTTGTAAGTTGACTGAATAATAAGGATGACTTCTCGTAATTGGGTTATAAGAATAATTTCTAGCTTTCCAGGGACACTGAATCAGCACCAGACTTTTCCAGCTTTTTTTACGTTACTATGACCATTTGCAATAACTGACAATGTGACTGATTTCTTTACATTCATAATTGTGTCTGCGCATATTTCCTACACAAAAACTAAGAATGAATGTTTTAGCTGTCATTATTTTTATTCCATACTAGAAGTTTATCTCTACCCATGTATTTACACGGTTTTGTAGTTTTTTAAATCGCTTATATTATATCTTTTTAGTTGTATGCAGGCTGCCACAGACACAGCATGATTCATGAACAAACGCAGAGTAACTTTCTCTTGTTTAGTAAAATAAGAGCTAACGCTGATTGTCTTTAGTTAAAATATGCAGATGTGCATCTTTCTTCTCTTATAACTTGACTATTACTACTACCGCAGATTTAAGATTTCTCATGGTAAAAGACATGATGATATTCTCGTAGTCAGTTTAACACAGAATTTGGAGAGATCTGTCGTGCCTTTTTTAAAATAACAATCATTTATTCATAACTTTGTAACTAAAATAGGACAAATTGGGTACTCTACAAACACTTGTCTAGAACAAAAACTAAGGCACAGAAACTAACCATTCTAACACAGAATAAATCTCAAGACATAAGAGCTTTTAGTACATGATCCGCGTAATGGTTTGCTGTGTGGGATGGGGAAGAAGTTATATCGTTTTAAACATAGTCAAAAATGCGAACTTCCCGACCGACACCGGCAAAGTCGCCTCAGGGCTCATTAACCCCGTGACCCCGAGCCGGGGAGGTCCGGCGGGCTGCTGAGTCACGCGAACTAATAGTAACAGAATCCGGCGAAAAGTGACGCCGTGCGGAGAGTTTCTGCGCTCTCTTGGCTCAGGGTAGACCTAGATCTAGGTTAGAACTTCTCTGTGGCCTAGGTCTAGATCTAGATCTAGGCAGACAGACATTATAAATCTTTGATCTAGTTTCGCGGCTAGATCTAAATGAAGATTGCGGATGTCTTTTCGATGAACGATCGTTTTTCCTCCCTTTTGGAGTTGGAGGAATCGCAAGACGCAATTTTAAGAAAAGAACAATGTCATAATTTCAATCGAGCAGTCACCCTCTCTATTTCTCTCTCTCTCTGTGTATCGCTCGCCTTCTCTTTTTCTTTGTTTGTCTCTGTCTTCCTTTTGTCCCCACCTATTTCACACTCTATCTTTCTCTCATTCCCTCCAGCCATCTGGGGCATGTCATTTCATTTTGCTAGCACCTCTCTCTCTCTCTTTCACACACACACACACACACTGGATTTCTACCGGGTCTGGGGGCTGAAATTTCCCGAAATCACAAAATAGTTCCCCTACCGGATCTGTATACTTCGTGACTTTGTTCCCGGTTACCAGGCGGGTCTGTACGTCTGTATAGTATACCACAAAACAAGGTCTTGTTTCACGAAAGTGGCTATTCTCACCCGCCGGAAGTTCTCGCAAGATCAACTCCTCCCCTCTTCTCTCTCTCTCTTTCTGAATACTGTCTATCGGTGTGGACGATCAAATTGACCAAAACAAAGTTAAAAAATGATGTTAAAACACAAAAGTAAATTAATTTGGTTGTCTACAAAGATGCTACGGCTATTTAACTTTTCGAATCGAGCCGAACTACGCGGGTCGCCATTTTGTTTTGCCCGGAAATTCTCGCGCTACTCCTCTCTCTCTTTCTCTCTCCTCTCTCTCCACTGCCCACACAGACAAAATTGTACGCTTTTAGTAGGCTACAGTTGTAATGGAACGTTTGTTCACGGCACAGAATTCTACAATTTTTCTGTTATCACAGTGTAGAATTCTGTGGTTTAGGGTGAACGCAAAATTTGGTGAACGCGCCCCGGGTAAGAATAGCCACAAGACTCGCCAGCACTATTCTCACTCCGGGTGAGAATAGAGGTGGCCTTGTTTCACACCTATGCTGGCAAGTCTCACCCAGGGTGAGAGGTAGATCGTATTTTTATTCTCACGCCGGGTGAGGATAGCCGCTTCCATTTGAAATAGGCTACACAAAGAGCAGGGATGCAACCTAACTGCAAAAAAGGCAAAACATTATATTATTAGAATTATTAGAATAAAATTCAGGGGGGCATGCCCCCCTGAACCCTCCCACCTCCATATTTTTATTAGGTCAGGGAGACAAGTGGTTCTTACTCTGTCCCATAAGCTGCATTTGCTTTTGCAAAGGAACCGTGCCATTACGCTGAAGCGAAAGAAGGCACTGCTTTACAGCAGGCCTCATCAGGCTCATCCCTGTCATGTTCTTTCCACTGTCGACTCAAGCCAAAACAGTAACCTTGAGTACCGGAAGTCACTATGCTTAGGCTAAACGATAAAAAATACAATAAATCTAGATTCTAGATCTAAATCTTATTTTCAGGAATTACAGAAAAAAAAATCAGACGAAAGTAAGAGCTTTCATTTTGGTATTTTCTTGTAGGTTTATTTATTTCAAATAGATCTAGATCTATTATTTCTAAAAAATAAATTCACAAGGATAAAAAAGGGTAGTTTTCGTGTACAGATATTTGCACAACAATTGTGTAAAAGAATCAACACTCCTCAAAAGTGAAAATTTAGTTGAGGGTAGTTCTACCAGTCGACCTTTCGTCATCGCTCTACTTTCGTTTCTAAACAGAGTCGCCCACGAGCCTCTTAGATCTCTATTGGCACTTGGCGCTGCTATTAGCTGCTATCAGTTATCACCATGCCAGGAGAGTAACACCCATTACATAGCCAAGGACAGGCAGAAGAATGGGGCGCTTTTTGATTTACTTTTCTTATCTTGGAAATCGTTTCAGGTATGCATTTTTTATAGTGGGCAGTGAATGGGGCCGATTAAGTTGTAGTCACAACAATAACAACAAGCAAACTAACAAAAAAATTAAATAATAAAACACACAAAAAATGGTTGGGAGACTCAGAAATGCCAATAAGAATAAGGTCGTTGAAGGACTTCCGTAACGAGCGACCACCCCATCAATAAAGAAGAGGCCTAGACCTAATCCTAACCCTAACCCTACCCCTACCCCTACCCCTAACCCTATTAACCTTACCCCAAGCCCAAGCCCTCAATTCTGCTCTGTCTCATAGTGGTCGCTCGTTACGGAAGTCCTCCCGGTCGTTGGATCTGAAATCTAGATTAGATCTAGATATCTATATCTAGATCTATAATCGTGGCATATTTTTCAGCTCAAAATGTCCAAAATGAGATCTAGAATCTAGACTAGATTCTTGATCTAGAATCTAGATCTAAATCTAGATTTTTTGGAAGGACTTCCGTAACGAGCGACCACCCCATCAAACAAAATAAAGAAGAGGCCTAACCCTAACCCTACCCCTATTACCCCTACCCGTAACCCTCAATTCTGCTCTGTCTCATTTTAAGTGGTCGCTCGTTACGGAAGTCCTTCTAAGTTTCTTATAGAGGTCTGTTGGTGTTTACGATAAGAAGAAAACTTTGGGATTCCTCTGGCTGTGAATTTTGAGCTTTGATTTACAAACAACTTACAACTTTATGTATTCCTTGTGGATGGATGCCCATTCAGTCACACCATAGCCTACAAATTGACTTGTGTAACGCTCCCGAGTAATGCTCATCATGGTATGGCAAGACGCAGCAAAGATCTATTCTTGTTCATTTTTATCCGTTCTATTTTCACAAATACTCCATAGGCCATGATATTTTTCACAAATTGTAAATTGATAAAAGTTTTTAAAAAAATATTTGATGATTATTATTCAAGCTAGATCTAGATCTATGTATTAAATTACCAGGGCAGCATGCATGCCCCCCCGAGGTAAAAAATAGCCTATATCTTGGGGGGGGGGGGGGGGGGGGGGGGGTCATGCCCCCTAAGTCTAAGAAGGTAAATTAAAAGTCCACCTTCCTTCTCACCCCTGGTGAGAGTTACATGTCGTCATTTTTCCTCTACTTCTTTTGTATGTTTGTCACTCTTGTGAACTACTATTTCCGGGGTGCCTTGATAGTCGAAGCTTGATTCCATTCCCCGTTTGGACTCCTCTGTTGACATCCACCCCTTGTCGCTCTCATATGACCCATGCAGTTCCGAGCACCGTAAAAACCTTGTACTAAAACTAAATCTAGCGGCGAGCAAGCTTGCGATCGTCTGTCTATCCTCCAGTTTGTCGACTGGCCTTTGTTGTGTGTTCTTTTCGTTCCATATGTTACGTTATAATAATAGGCTAATATATATATTTAATATGTTATTGATGGCGCAAATTAACTCCCTTTTTCAAGCTGGTGTGGGGCTTGATTTGCTGAGTAGTAAATTGTTTTTTTCCAAGTAGTAAATTTTTTCTGGAAATATTGCTGGACACCCTGACACACACACTATGGGTGGGGGCTCTCGTGGCCTAGAGATTAAGGTGCTGGCCTCCCATTCAAAGGTCCCGGGTTCGAATACAGGTAGCAACCGAAAAATTTTCTTCTCTAAAATTGTCTTCTTTCCCCTCCTTTCCTGCACTCTAGCAATGTTCTGTCGTCTGCTTTCGTCTCCTCTTTCTGCCCCCACCCCCTCGCCTTCTTTGCCCCCTCCTCTGGGCTCCTGACTTATTCTGCAGCCATTCTACTGCTACTCCTTGGCTCCTTCTTACTGCTGTCTTTCAGCCACACCCCTGATCTACACCTAGCCATCTCGGACAAGGGCGAAAAATATAGGAGGGCCTGTGTGCAAGTTACGCACGTTAAAGATCCCATGATGGTCTAAAATCGATAAAAGTAGGCTTCGGCAGCCACCCGGGCAAAAATCAAAATTTCCTACCAACAGAAAAAGGTTAACGTGCCCCGCACGCTCATAATATGACCTTATTTATGCAGTTGCGAGCGTCATAAAATACTCAAAAAAAGCTCACCATGGGTCTGTTTAGGTGCTCACAAGTAATCTCCCTTTTTTGCTGTTGCTCTTGTTTACTTTTTTTTAGGAGAATAGAGAGGCGCAGTCTGGGCCGCTCTGTAGTGTGAAGCCTGTGTGAAGCCAACTGGTATTGCACTGCACCACTGACTATTCTTGGTGTTCTACCACGATGTTTCTGTTCAGGTCCTACTTGAGGGTGTACCACCGGATCGTAGGAGGTTGGCGGGTGCCCCTGTGTGGTTTGCTCCTTCTTTCCTATCCAACATCTATCTATCATCTTTATCTCCCCTCATTTGCATTTGTTACTCTCTTGTAACACCTCTCATCTTCAGCACTTATATGAATGACCTATTGTGTTGCAAGTGCCGTAAAAAGCTTACTAAAAGTAAAAGTAAACCACCGGATCGGGGGTTCTCGTCGCTTAGAGGTTAAGGTGTTCGTCTCTCATTCAAAGGTCCCGGTTTCGAATCCGGGTAGCGACTGAAACATTTTCTTCTCCTGTCACCTCGATTTCCTACTCTCTTGCAACGTTCTGTCGTCTACTTTCGTCTCCACTCTCTGCCCCTCACCCCTGCGCCGTAGTCTGGGCTCCTGACTCTTTCTGCAGTCTGTCTAGTGCTACTCCTTGGCTCCTTCTTACTGCTATCTTTCAGCCACACCCCTGATCTTCTTTTCTTGTAGGAAAGATCTACACTGAGCCTTCTCGGATAAGGGCGAAAAATCTCGGAAGGCCTGTGTGCAAGTTGCGCACATTAAAGATCCTTTGGTGGCCTAAAATCGATGAGCTTGCTTCGGCCGCCACATGGGCAAAATTCAAAATTTCCTACCGACTGAAAATGTTTGATGTTTCCCGCACGCTCGTATGACCTTATGCAGTTGCGAGCGCCGTAAACACTTACAAAAAAAAAAAAGAAAAAACCCACCGATTCAGTCTGAACCGTTCCACTTGACGGTCTACCAGTCTACTGCAATCTACTATATATGCACTAAACATTTCCCCTCTGTGTTTATACTTGGGGCTGTCATTTGGTGTATTAATAGATGATGTTTTGTTGTTGGTTGTACATGTATGCTCAGTCCCACACCGGTGTGGGCATGAGGCGAGGACTCACCCCTGACTTCTTACAGGCCAATAACATCACAGGCTAGGACCCAGGTGGCTTACCGCATGTGGTGGGGTACAAATAAGTGCTTGGCGCTTGTTTCCTCATGTAGGCCAACTACTGATCACTGTTTTGCCTTAAAATTAACCTTTATTTTTTTTATTTTAAAAAAAATCAAATAGCCTTCTTGAAATTCACTTTATTATGATTACTGGTAGGTATCAGAAAAAAAAAACGTTCTGCTCATGCTCATGACTTTTTTGGACCAAGCAGTTTATGGTAGCACCTCAAGACACAAGCTGAATGTAACAAAGAGAGAGAAAGACTTAGGAGTTGTAGTCGATGATAAACTAACCTTCAAGGAGCACATAGCCCAGATAACATCAAAGGGAACTGTATTGTTGGACTTATTAGGCGATCATTTGACTACCTTTCTGAGGATATGTTAATTTTGCTCTACTAGAGATTAGTGAGGCCTTTATTAAGGTATGCACACTGTGTTTGGCAACCCCTTGAAAAAGGACTATGTAGTGAAATCGAGCAAGTTCAAAGGCGGACTACCAAATGCTGAGTCACCTCAAAGAAAAGCTTATAATAATAAATTCTGAAAGACTGAAAAAATTAAAGCTTCCATCCCTGGAACATTGTAGGTTACGTGGTGATATGATTGAAACATACAAGTACATCAAAGGCGACTACATCACCGAAAGACCAGCTTTTACAAAGGAAACAACCACATAACTCCATGGCAACCCAGATCTAGAAATTCCAGAAGCAAAGAAGCAGATTGTGTGTGAGGACAAACGTTTTTGAAAATCGGGTTAATGCTATTTGGAACAAGCTCCCCGAGTCAGTGGTGTCAGCCCCAAACGTGGACACATTTAAGAGACGTCTGGACGAATGGAAGGATCTCCCGACTATCTACAACCCCACTTATCAAAACTGATTTGTCTAGCCTGCACGCAATGCATAGTCAATCATTACCAGATAGTCGAACAGGCTCTTCAGAGCCTCAACCAACTAAATCGTCAATGTTTATGTCAATTACATTTTGTTCTTGATAACTTTAGCGGCCTAATAATTTATTATAATGATAAAATGTAACTGGTTTTTTGTGGGTTTTTTGTTGGGTTTTTTTCAATGTTGTTTGCTGTTCATGGTGTGAAATGGCTTTCATCCAGCCCATTCATTACATTGATTTGAACTAAACCTGAAACTTATCTAGGCCTGCACAACTTCTTCTCTGTGCTGTTCTGTGTGAGTTTGTGCTATATATAGGCCAACTGTACCTACCTGAGGGGGTGAGAATAGCGAGACACAGGCTGTTCTCACCCCTGGTGAGGATACCCACTTCCAAAATAAAAAGTCATGGCCACGTTTTTCCCCATTTTAATTTGATTAAATGTTTTGTAAAAATTAGATTTGAAAAGGTTTTGATCTGCAGCCAAAAATACAGCCTTTGACCTTCAATGCACATCAGTGTGCAGGATCTGAGTAAATTTAAAAATGTACCCATTATTGGCATTATTCATTCATGAAGGTTAAAGATAAATGTGGTAGGCTTTCGGAGCACAGCCAGTTTTAAGAGTTGTATATTTATACTGTAGGCCGAGAAGTATTTAGGAGCCTATTTTTATGGCTTGTTGGGCCTGAGGATCACCTCCAAAGTCAATTATTTTGATGACAAGACAGATATGGCATGCTAATATATATATAGGCTATATTATAATAATATGAATGAAGTATTGCATGCTTATTGTGAATTGTTGTTGTAATACAATTTAATTGATTTTATAAGTACCTGATCTTCTTTTCCTCAGTGGACTACAGAGGCAACCAACTCATATCATCAAAGGGAAGAAGATTTTCACTATTGAAGGAGCTCTTCAGGTATACCAGTGTTCGTGCTCTTAGAGAACGTATTATGATCATGATGTCAAAATGAGGCTAGAGGGTGAAAAAGATTTGTTCATCATGCATTATTGTTAGAACAGGAACAACTAGAAAATTGTGATTAATTACAGATGTGTAAGAATGCAGCTTAATTTTACTTGATTTAATGTACACACTGTGTTTTAAAATGTATCCCCCCCCCCCCGGGCGATGCTACTGACTGAAGTGTCTTTAGGCCATTCCCAAATGGGGGACATTAACCATGTTCTTATGCACAATAGAATTGTAATTGTAAAGAGGCTGATTCATCTATGTCATGCTCATAATTGTGCCTGAGCTGCAACAGGGAACTGCTGCTTTTTCTTTCCTTATCCTTACTATTGTCATTTTTCCTCTACTTCTTTTGTATGTTTGTCACACTCTTGTAACCCGCTATTTCCGGGGTGCCTTGATTATAGTCGAAGCAGACTTTGTGCTGTTGAAGCTAGAGAGATGAGCAAAGTGAGCCTGATTCCCTGTAAGGTCTTCTTTGTTGACATCCACCCCTTGGCGCTCCTATGACCTTATACAGTTGCGAGCGCCGTAATATCTCTACTAAAACAAACAAAAGTGTATTTTATTTGATGGAGAAATGTTTTATTTTTACTTTGCTAATTTGTTGTTTGTTGTTGTTATTGATCACAAGGCTCACACTCACAGGCTTGCTCTCTCTGATCCCATGCCATAAATGTAATGTGTCGCCATAAAGTGATATCTGCATGTTCCTGCTTATTGTGTTGTCAAGGTGGTATCTGCAGGTATTCGAACATCTTTTTTGTTGTGACCATGTGTTTATTTTTCCTCTGTCAATGCAAGAAAGAAGTGTCTGGTCTTCTGGTCTTTTAAAATGTTGTCACCAACATCTGTTCTGTCAGTCAATGTAAGCTCTGCCTTGCTGGAGCTTGATTCTCATTTAATCAACATATTGGAATTCCACATTTTTTTTACTTTGTGGCTGTTTTGTAAGAAAAGCAAGCTAGATGTTGTTAAGTGTCACATTTGTTTTTCTATCTTTTCCTGCTCCATTAGTTTTCTTTCTAACCCCCCCCCCCCCCCCCCCGGGGCAGTGCCACTGACTTTAGTATCTTTAGGCCATTTCCAAAGGGGGGACATTTCTTGTTCAAGCATAGTAGAATTGTAAATGGGCTGACTCATGTCACGCTCATAACTGTGCCTGATCTACAACAGGGAACTGCTGCTTTTTCTTTCCTGATCCTTACTATTGTCATTTTCCTCTACTTCTTTTGTATGTTTGTCACTCTCTTGTGACCTGCTATTTCCGGGGTGCCTTGATAGTCGAAGCAGACTTTGTGCTGTTGAAGCTGGAGAGGTGAGCAGTCTAAGTCTGATTCCCTGTAAAATCCTCTGCTTTAAAAAAAAAAAAGTTTTCTTTCACTCTCAAGCTCTGTACCTATTTCCTTGTCTCAATTCTTTTACTCACTTCCTTTTAAGACTTTGTGTTTTGGCTCACTTCATTTACAATTACGTTAGTGTGTCTGTTTATCTTCACTACGTTGGTGTTTTTCTTTTTTAATTTTGAGTGAGGCAGTTTCGGGAATGGATATATGATGCTTAGGAGAATTATATTATTAATATGAGGCACATAGTAGAATTATTGAGTTTTGCACTTCATTGTCCATAAATCCTCAAATGTTGTAGTTGCAAACTTCTCTGTAGTCGAGCCCGACTCCCATTTTTTCTTTCATGCCTGTCGAACCTATTTAAAGTTTGATTTTATTAGGCATTTGTGTCACAACATGGTGGAATTAGGCGCTCGTCAATTTTTGGACATGTGGAGCTGTTTGTATAATTTTAAAGCTTGTTCGTTTGTCTTGCTTTTGGTGAAAAAAATACTGAAATATCATGAATAGAATTCAAGATTTTTGAGGTTGTGGGAGGCGGGGTCGGCTGATTTCAGAGGTAAAATTAGCGAGAAAATGGCTGCTAAAGTTTGGCGACTTCCAAAGCTTGAAGGTCCTTAGAAACTTAAATTTCCATTTTTGTGCCGTAAATCAGTAAAATCCACACAGAATAGAACTAATGTCTTTTTAAATGGAACTTTAAGGTGTTGAGTCAAAAATAAAAAATTCAATAAAAATTGTCAAACGGACAGAAAATGCCATTTCTTCGATTTCATTATATTGACCAGCGCCTGATTTCTCCACGATGCCTCTGTTTTAGTGGAAATAAAAATCGAAAATTTTGTCTTCTCCACATATAATATATGACCCTTTCTTAACAGGGTAGGTATGATCATTTGATGTGTATACTAAAATATGATATAATGTTCTATGGGAGGTCAGAGGACACCAAAGTCAAGTTGTAGATCCTACTTTTTTCCTTTCTCTCTCTTATTCATATCTATCTAGCCTTTTTTCCTGCTCTGATGCCTTGTTATTGTGTCGATGCGCTTCCTTGTACTCAAACAAAGAACGTGGGTGGTTGGCGGGTGCTCTGGTGTTGTTTGCTTCTTCTTTCTTATCAAACATCTATCGTCCTTATATCCCCTTCTTCTTTTTTATGTTTGTTACTCTCTTGTAACACCTCTAATCTTTCGGCGCTCATATGACCTTATGCAGTTGCGAGTGCCGTAAAACTCTTACTAAAAAAACAAAGAACAAAGGGATGGTGTGCTCTTTGTTACTTACATATAGTGCCATCCTTTTTATTTTGAAAAATGTTCCTTAGCTTTTACAGTAAAATATATATCATATTGATTTTTTTTTTGCATGATACTGTTATGTTGACCATGCGTTATATTTTCATATATTTTTCATATTCCCCAGTCTGCTTTGAATGCTCTTCGACCTGCCAATGAATTTAGGATTGTTTTGTCAAGTCGGACTGACAAAGGGGTGCACGCTTTGAAAAACAGCTGCCATGTTGATCTGCAGTATCCGTAAGATATTCTTGTTCAGAGTATTTTGTATGTTTACTGTTGTTTTCTCTCCTCCTGAAATAAATGTTCCATTTTTGTAGTTGTTATCCTCCCGCCGCTACATATACATTGTTTTGATTCTAATAATTTCTATTACTTGGATAGAAAAACAGTAGGGATCAAAGGGTTATGTGTACAGGCAGGTTATTGCTGGAAGGTGGACCTTGGCTGGTATAAATTTGTTCTCTGCTTTGAGTTTGGGTGGCATGCTCATATTTCGATCACATTTGTGTTTTGTTTTCATATTCTAAAGTATCCCATGTCTTGCCACTGAAACTGTTGTAGCAGTTTTTATTTTCTAATTGAGCTGTCCTAGTATTCATTATGTACCTTCCCTCGTCTATGCTTTTCGTCATCAAAAAAAATTTTTGTGAAAAGATTTTCTTTTGTTTTTTCTTCTGGTAGTGAGCTAGGTAAAGAGTACAGACCTGATGTGATTACTCATGTAATGAACACCCAGCTGAGCCGTCAAGAGCAAGATATCAGGTAGATAGTAAGGGGAATATCACTCAAGTTGCAAGCAATCTGAATAATTATGGTATATGTTGGTATTTTTGTGTGTGTATGTGCATGTGTGTGTTTTTGTAGTGATGGAAGGAGGGGGGAGGGGGCTTTTGAAAAATTTGGGCCGTGATAGAAGTTTATTTGACTATAGGGTACTGTTTTAACTTGTTGATATTTGCGTCTGTAGATAATGAACGTCCTAAAGTTTTTATAGTTGAATAGTTTCGATTTTGACTGTAAAATGAGGTCACTTGTCATCTATTTTAATTTCTCTTAAAATGGCATGTAGCACAAGAATAGGTTGAGAATATTGATGAATTAAAATATAATATTGTTGATGTCTTCCTTTACTTTAAGGTTCTTCTGATTGTGTGTATTGCTTGCGATACCGACAGTATCTTTATCTGTAGGAACACAGACTCGCTCCTTTCCTGTTCATATTCTTGCCCACTTATTCAACTTCCTGTGCACGTAGTAACTTCCCGGCTTTTACATTCTTTTATGCTTAGAGCAAGCGAAAGTAAATCCCGACTGCTGATGCCTGCTCTGACTCATTTTCCTTCTTACTAGAAATGAAAAAGAAGCAGTAGCTTAGTGTCAGCGGTTAATTTTTATGATCGCCAAGCTGGTTAAGGGGGCTCGTGAGTCGGGTCTAGGGCCCCGGGGACTGATTTTCACTCACTCTGAGCACTTTTTACTTTTGGTATTTTCTGATCTCTCATTCAGTCTAGATTTTATTGACACAGTCGCGGAGTGAGTAACACTAACAGAATTCGATTTTACTGGGTTCTACGTTGTTGCTTATATTTTTTTATGTTTAACCTTGTTTTTTTTAAAACACATTTTGTCACAACTTTTTGCTTGCATATGCCATTTTTTTCTCCCAGTTTTTTTTCTTTTCAAACACAGAGACTTGAAATTTAGCATGTAGTTAGAAATATAGTTGGTACTTGTAGTGGCCTGTTTAGTTTTTTTACATTTTACTTTCAACTTTTTTTTGCAATTTTTTTAAAGCCAAAAATATTTTTTTGAAGGTCAAATTCATTATGCCCAACTTTGAGAACAATTTTGGGTATTTTCTAAGTATAGTATCAAAAATCAAAATAGCAAGTTGCAAGCACCTAATTATTTGTGATATTTTGCAAGTAACAGATTTTTAGAAAGTTAAAAACTGTAGAAATGGTGGGGAAAAAGAATATATCTATTCAATTTTCAAGATGGCCGCCGTCTCCATGGCAACGGCTTATGTAATCGAGCGTATCAACTGTTGAAAATGAATCTTTTGTCTCATACTTATTGCCTGTGACAAAAGTTGTTTCAGTTTGTCTTTAGTTAAAAATGTTGTCCCGTAAGTATCGAGCCCTCTTAAAAGAGAAGTTTCAGCCCTTCATTTGGAACTTACTTGGCTTAGTACAATGTACGTACCTCCAGGGTCTCCACTCTCTGTGAGGCTACATGTGGGTCACCGTGATTTAATGAGCGAAAGACACTTTTAACCCATTTTAAGAATCGTTGGTCTAATTTATTTTATTCCACCTAGCTTGTCATTGAAGAAATCAGGTGGGATAAACAAGCTGTGTATCTGGCCTGTTTTGCAGTGATGCTAATCTTCCTCGGATCAGAGAAGTTCCAGGATTTTTAGCCTTCCGGGAAAATTTCTCCACAATCTGGCGTCCTCCCGAGTCTCACAAAAGTCGGGGCTCCAATGTCATGTATGCGAAAATGCAATTCAACGAGCGCGAATTCTTAGTTCCACCAAGCGATCATCGTTATCTCGCACACCCTGTTGAAATAGTCTGTGAAAATATTTTGGTTTCTTTGTTTTCGTTTTGGGTGGCTTTTTTTATCCTCGGTTCTCATTCATTTGCACACTGTTTCCACGCTGACTTCATACAGACTTCTTCCTCCCCTAGTTTGGTCGTGGTACCGATGATTTTCTGCCTTTTTGACTTTTTGTCATTAGCATCACTGGTTTTGGGCAGGTTAAACTCTGATGCTGCATGTTTTCATCTAACTTACAGATACAAAATGCCCTTCATGTCTTATACGATTGTTTTCATCATTAACTCCCCTGTCTGTTAGTACATAGTGCACCTAAAAATGACTGCTACAAGCTTCTGGAAGAAGTGCGCAACTAAGATTCAAACGGTGAGGGCTCTCGTGGTCCAGAGGTTACCATGTTTGCATCTCATTCAATAGGTCCCGGGTTCGAGTCTGGATAGTTACGGAAAATGTTCTTCTTTAAAATATTCTCCTTTCACACCCTTTCCTGATCTCTAACAATGTTCTGCCATCTGCTTTCATCTCCACTTTCTGCCCCCACCCCCTCCTCTGAGCTCCTGACTCTTTCTGCAGCCTTTCTACTTCTACTCCTTGGTTCTTTTTATTTTACTGCTGTCTTTCAGCCACACCCGTGATCTTATGGTAGGTAAAATCTACACCGAGCCTTCTTGGACAAGGGCGAAAAATGTCGGAGGTCCCATGTGCAAGTTTCGCCCGTTAAAGATCCCTTGGTAGTCCAAAATCAATAGGAGTAAGACTTTGGGCACCACCTAGAGCAAAATTCAAAATTTCTTACCAAGTGGAAATATTAAATGTGTCCTGCACACTCATATGACCTTATACATTTGCCAGCACCATAAAACACTTACCAAAGCAAACTCAAATAGTTTGTTTTGTATTTTATTACTTCATAATTATTTTTCTCAGTCTAGTTTGTTGATCCCCACTTAATGTTAATGATTAAATCTAAAATATCTTCTAAGATTATCTTAAAAAAATGATTTTATGTCATTTATTTAGTTAAAAAAAGGATTTTTATTTTAAAAGGCTGTAAACTAAAAAAGTAAAAACTTTTACATTTGGAGACTTTTTGCAGGCGCATACATACAGTCAGACATGCCTTGACGCCCACCTGTTCAAGATAGTCACCTGTACGAACAATAACTCCCATTACCTCCTCCCCTCTTTGCATTTATGACCCAGTCCAAGACATTTACCTGTATAAGACAACCACTTTTCTCTTCAACAAAGGGTTTCCATCTTAACAATGTTGACTACTTTATCAAACAGTTTGTTTGTGACTGTCAATGTTATGTTAAGAGAGCTGCTCTAGATCTATTTTGAGTGTCAGCTTTAATATCTTTTTGGTGGATTTGAACTGGTTCAAGAATACTGCCACTCACCTCCCCCCCCCCCCTCCCCCCGGGCAGTGCCACTGACTGAAGTGTCTTTAGGCCATTCCCAAAGGGGGGACATTTCTCGTTCGTACACAGTAGAATTGTAAATGGGCTGATTCGTCAATGCCCTCATAACTGTGCCTGATCTACAACAGGGAACTGATGCTTTTTCTTTCCTAATCCTTACTATTGTCACTTTTCTTCTACTTCTTTTGTGTGTTTGTCACACTCTTGTGACCCACTGTTTCCGGGGTGCCTTGATTGTAGAAGCTAGAGAGGTGAGCAGAGTAAGTCTGATTTCCTGTAAGGACTTCTCTGTTGACATCCACCCGTTGGCGCTCATATGACCTTATGCAGTTGTGAGCGCCGTAAAACCTCAACTAAAACTAAACTAAAAACAAGAATACTGATATCTGTTGTGTAATGGTTAGGCTCTATGTGTAAGCAGAGATGATACAATGCCAGTTCAATTCCTATGTAGTAGTAGTATGAAGTACGGCTGTGGTCAGGCTAGTCGCCTATCAGCCGTTCGTTGCTTTCGTTGCTTATTCCTTCCTGCACGTTGTTTTCACACTCTGGTATCTGTTGGTTAGTGCTCATGGGACATGGATCTGGCAGTTTGATACCAATCTAGGTTCATTGAGAATTTATGTTCCTTCCAGACCATGTCAATTCTATTCTTGAAAGCATTCAAGGATGGTGCAGACACCACATTTACCGGTAGGGAATTCCAAGTGTTAACTGCGTACGCTGAAGAAGTTTTAGCGGACTGCTGTTTTCACATGGGTTTTTTTCAAATTTTAGACTGTGTCCCCTGGTGTTAGAGTGAAGATCGCAGGGTAAAATATCTCCCGTTACGTTGTAAATTCCTGTTAAATACTTGTAGTAGAGATATTTTATCGAGTGTCTCCAACTTTCTATATGGTTTGGTCTTGACAGGCAGGGTAGAAGCAGCCAGCTTCCTAATTGATGTATCAGTTTTGATTAGGTCGAAAAACAGTAATAAAAAAGAACATAATTCAATGATCTGAATCATTGGACTTTTGTCTTAGCTAACTGCTTAAAATCATTTATAAATTTGAGTTTGGAATTTTTTCTATTACTGGGGAAAAAAAGATCTCTTTGATAGCTGATCGTATAATTCTGTTGTTCCATTTTTTGTCTTTTTCAGAGTCCTTGAAACTAGACGTGTAAGTGATGATTTTCACAGTCGACTTCGGGCAAAAGGGAGGAAATACGTGTACCGTATAGGACACTCTGTGTGGGATGGCAGTGAAGGAGACTCATCCGATTACCCAGGTCAAGATGGCAGACATGGGTAGGTAGTTCAGACTTAGTGGCTGCTTCTGATCTTTTATTCCATGTTCTTTTAGAGAACATACTTGTGATTGTGGTGTAGTAGTTGTACACTTCACTGTTACACACAGGAGACCCAAGTTCAATTCCTGTGTGAGGATAATTTTTATAGAGTATCTCGCACACATGACAGCCCCCAACTCTAAAGATGCAATAAATTCCCTGAGTAGAAGAGAACAAGTCACAATATTTCGCCTGCGAACACAACACATACCACTAAATTCCTACCTTAATAGAATCCGCAAGGATACCCCACCCGACTGCCCGTTGTGCGACTGCCAGGATGAAACAGTACCACACCATCTCTTTAACTGCCCAGCACTTTGTGACCTGCGTAGCACCTACCTACCTGCCTCCCCAGACATCGGAAACACTCTATACAGTGACAAAGCACAGCTGATTAAAACCTGTCAATTCTTTGCCATATCGACAGACCGAAGGGCTAGAACCCAAATGGCCGCTGGATCGGAAAAGTAAAGTAAAGTATAGAGTATCTCAGTCTCTCTGCTAGGATCTGATCCTTGACCCTCTCAGCATGAGATAACCGTGATAGGTGGGTTCAAAGCGTAAGCCAATGACTTAATTTTGACTTGTGCATACTTGGGGAAAAGGACTATGTTTTTACCCCTTGATGTTCAATGATAGTTCTCTGCTTGTTTGTAACGATAGAACGATAGCTTCATGGTGGTGTTGTGTGCTTTTTTTCATTGCTGAGTCACCGAGACCTACCGACTTCTTCAACTAGTTAGTAGCATACCTCTGCCTAAAAAAATGTTATACCTGGTAAATATGTGACCTCGACTCTTTGGTCTTATTACAGTATGATGCAGATGCCCTTGCTTTGTGTCACAGTTGGGGTGTTTTTTAGCTTAGATTGTATGGGAACTTTCCAAGGCCTTTAGGTGATGGATGTTACTGCTGAGTACCTGCCTCTTAAACTTTTGAAAGGAATGCTCGCCTCATACTAAGCTTTCCTATACCTTGTCATATCATGCTATTATACCATGTCATGCCCTGCCAGGCCTTTTGGAGTACAGTCTGTATTGCTTAATTAAAGAAATGAGAAATGAGATGAAAGGCAAAGAACTTATGTTTCTTTCGCAATTCACACACAGAGGGCCAGACTTGATACCAGAGTTGCGGAAGTTTGGATGGAAACGAAGAGGTTTCCTGTACATCCCACTGGGAGATAAGGCTACAGCTCTCGATTCCCACAAAGTTAAAATATACAGGTATGTTATGGTAGTGGTAGCTGCAGTAGCAGAGAGTTAAAATACACTGATATGTGGTAGTTGTAGTATCAGTAGAAGAGAGTCAAGGCTCAAAGGGCTAAAGCGTACAGGTATGTGATTGCAGTTATCGCTGCTAAGGTTCTGCCAATCTCTAGGGACTGGAATAGAGGACTTTTCTAATAATAACCTTGCCTCTGGCGTCCGCAGTAGTTCTTTATTGCTGTTACTTATTTTCAGTAACAAATCAAGGCTTTCTTTTTAAACACCGCATTATCAGTTTTTATCAAATTTGTGTAATAAGAATGATATATCTATATACTGGACATTTAAGTATTTGTGAGTGTGCTGACAAAATGAGTTACTTCTTGGATTTCAGCCTTATGGAAATTGATACATCAGTTTTATAGGCGAAGTTTGTACAATTTGCCAGTATGGAATAATAACGGACACGGTAGACTTGAACAAAATGGCATTAATTAAAAATATATAAATCTGACCCGAGTGTCGATTTTTGGCCTATATCTCCCTTCTCGGATTGCAAGAAGTAACTCATTTTGTCAGCACGCCTCACATTTAGTATCTCCAAACAAACCAATCTCTGTTAAGACATTTCACACGGAGAATACAGTTCCCTTTCTTCCTGAATCTAGTAGGATTTTTCTACAGGAAAAAGAAGTACAGATCCTTGTTATGCTGAAAGGATTTCTTCTATGCTTGCTTGAGGTTAGAGGGTGTCACTGGCAGGTCCTACTTTTATTCTTTCCATCTATTATTACTGTCTGTCCGGGTTGAGACTAAAACAGCACCTGGACACCGATTGCTGGTGCCTCCATAAATTAATGGTCTGTCTGGCTTGTTTTTCCTTGACCATTAGCATGGTGATATATTTTTCTTCGTTCAAACAAATTCAAACACCTTACTAATGCACTCTGTGGTTTTTCATATCCAATTTTCCCCTTTTCAGAGACAATGTCGACATCAGCAAACTCATTGAAGCAGCAGAAGTCTTGTCAGGCATTCACAATTTCGCGTCTTTCTCCTCCCCTCCAAAACTGGATGAGTACAATCCGCACCCTGTAAAACTGTTGACCATTGGCGTGAAAAGGGGCCAACCATTGGCTCACAGACTTCAGAAAAATGTTCAGCCCCGGTGGAACGACCTCGAGTTTTGGGATGTTCATATACATGCAAGGTCGTTCCTTTATAAAATGGTAGGTATTTGTTTTTCTCTAAATCGCGCATTTAAGTTTTTTAAAAAGCCATTTTTAACAACAGATTTTTTATGAGCTTGATCAAGTTTTTAAAAACTTGTCAGTCAACTCTGGGTTTTCAAGACTCAACTTTTACTTGACTAGGTCCTCTTGGAGAGAGATATAATAGATAGCATTTGTAATGATAGATAGCATTTGTATAGCGTAAATCCCCGCTCAACAGCAAACTCTATGCGCTTCACAATCTATACTATTACCCCAGAAAACCTGAGAGCATTCTGAAACAGACTCTACTTCCTGGGAAGCATACAGTGCAAGCAGCCATTTGTAGGCGCTAAAACACTAACATACTGACAAGATCTTTCACTGTCTATGGCTGGGTACCCATTTCCACCTGGGTGAAGTGAGGAAAATTCGTGTAAAGTGCCTTTCCCAAGGACATAACGTCGGGCCCGCGGCTCGAACCCCCGACCCCGCAACCTCACAATTACGAGTCCGGTAGCTTAACCACTAGGCCAACGACGCCATTTTATTTACTTATACTTTCTTATATTTGCATCAAGTGGTTAGAGAAAGTAAAAACTGACTACTGACACCAGTTCTGACACACTTGACTATATAGAATGAATGAAAACTGGTAACAACTTAGTGTCGAAACTTGAATTTTTTCATAGCAAAGTTTAAAATTTACAGAAATCTAGTGGAAGAACCAAGAAGCATTTCAGGGTGATTTCTCTTCGGGTGAACAAGTCAAGGGGTAAAGGTACAGTGGAGTCCTCTTGAGCTGAAATTTGCGGGACTGGCATACTTTCTTTGGTTTAGCCATGTTTTCAGTTAAGAGACTGTAAAGTTACCTGGCGATCCGATGAGTACTCAAATAGCGGAGAAAAGAATCTTGGATTCTATTTTGCTTTCGGTTTACAGATGTTTTAGGATAAATGTGTTCTGTTTAAAGCGGACTCAGTTGTTTTCTATTACCAGATAAATACTACTCTAACGTGCACCCTAGCAAGAGTGGACTTTTAACTGTTGAGAGCCTAGTAGCTGAACCATAAGACCACTCAGGTCATACTTAAATGTTGGTTTCTTGTTGCTGTTCTTCCTACATCTGTCTTGGTACTTGCTATGCCCCTTTGTATCATGTCTGCAGTGTAATGGCTAGACTCTTCACCGCTGCATTTTAACTTGCAGGTGCGGAGGTTAGTCAGTGCTATGGTTCTCCATGCCAAGAACAAGATTACCCTTCATGATCTGAGGGATATCTTAGTGAACCCGAGAAATGACTTTCCATTTGCTGGTCAGATGAGTATGAGTGAGGCCGGTCTCTTTCTCCAAGATGTTGAGTACGATGCTAAAGGTACACTAACAGTGCTTTGTTAATATTTTACATTTTACTTTTGCTCTTGATATCCACCCTACTAGACGTAAGTATGTATTTTAAAAAGCAAAACAGTTTTCCCAGTCGTTACCGTAAAGAAGAAAGGAGGTAAGAATAGAGGTAGTAGTAATAACACACCAGTGAATGTCACATGGAACAACTTAATTAAAAACCTGGTAACCTAACCATTAGATCATTCAGGTCATACATAAATGTATGTCTTTGGGGGGTTTTTTCTGCAACTGTCTGCTTCTTGCTGTGCCTCCGTGTACCATAATGGGGAGAAGGAAGGTTTTTATATCTTTAAATAATGTGTAACTTCTGTCAGCATCTGTTATGTAATGACTAGACTCATCACTGCTGCGTGCAAAAGATGTGAGTTCAATTCTACTGTGGTGAAGTTTTTTTTTAATCAAATGTGTCTTGCCTGCCTGCTGGGATGCTGTATTACACTCGGCCCAGTTTGGCCCGGATCAAACCAGACTGCTTCCTAAATGATTTAATTGTCAATGGGTTCATAAAACATTGTATAACCACTAACAATGATATAAGTATCTATTTTTTCACCCCTATCCTATTAAAAGTGTGAGTGGGTCTTGTTGAGTGCTTGCCATTTGTTGGCCTATAGGTAATTTTGGTGGCAGTGGAGATTATCTGGGTAGTGACAGTTTACTACCTTAGAATTTCAAAGTTCTATCTGACATTTTTTACTGTTTTGCGTTACTTAGACCACAAGGTTAAAAACCAAATGCTCTATCTTCTCTAACAGAATCGTAAGATCATTCAGAGTCGTTATCAAGACATTCAAAGAATTGTATTTTAAAAGCTTTTCATGTTGTGGAACTCAAATTTTTTTTACGTGAAATTCCTCAAATGTAGACACTGAGCAGATAAAATTTTATATTCGAAGGTAAAAAGTTATTAAATGCCCTGTTTGGAATTACATTTTGTGGGTGGGAAGAAAATATAAGCTGCTTAAGTTAAAGGTGGCAAAAGCTGGCTGTTCAGAGGTTGACCAGCACTAGCCTCAACAAAGAAATTATTTTGTACTTTGTATAACTTTCAGAATGTTGATCTAAAAGGACTGTTTCCAAATGAACGATGCTTAAAGAAATTGTGGAATGCCTCGAAGAGATGTGTTTTATGAAATTGTTGTTCGTTCGAATTGTTTTCAGATCTGGAATATCATGGGCCACTGACACACCCACAGGAGGGAAATGATGACATCACTATTCCAATTGGCAGCGAATTCCACAACACTTACGTTGATACTGCAACTTATATTGATACTGCAGAGGGACGTACATAGATACAGCGGATAGACTTGCATATAAATTCAGAGAGACGTACATTGACACAGGACTGACTGGGAACCCCAATAGTGCAAAGAAACATGCCTGGATACATTACAGAGGAAGACTTGGCAGAGGACACTTTTCCACGTGAAAAATCACAAAGTACAGTTGAATAAAACAGCCACTCATTGCCGAAGAGTAAAATGACAGTCCTACTCAGGATTATTATTATGTAAAAAAAAAAGAAATAAGCAAGGGGGGAAATAGGATGTGGCCATTCGTACAGGTGATTGTCTTATGCAGATGGCCGACTGTACAGTTGTTTTTTTTCTCAGTATGAGAACATAACACAGTGACTCTGGCTTGGGACATCACTTAAAACTGACAAAAAGACACCCACAATAATCGTCTTGAAGAATCACATCTTTTAGAAGATACCTCTGAGACCTCCTGACCTGTAGCGTTACAGACTTTTGTCATACGTGTCTGTGTCTTGAATGTCTGTGTCATATGTGCATCTGTGTCATGTGTATACATGTCAATTGTATCTGTGTCATGTGTATCTGTCATGTGTGATGTGTATCTGTGTTTGTAACATGTGTATCTGAGTCTTGCATATCTGTAGCTGTGTCATATGTGTACGTGTCACTGTCAGATTAACTGTGTCATGTGTGTGTGTGTGTGATGATGTGTATCTGTATCACGTGTGTATGTGTCATGTGTATCTGTGTCGTGTGTGTGTGTGTGTGTGTGTGTGTGTGTGTGTGAGAGAGAGAGAGATGATGTGTATCTGTGTATGTGTCATGTGTATCTGTGTCGTGTGTGTGTGTGTGTGTGTGTGTGATGATGTGTATCCCCAGGGCTCAGTCCTCTGTCCAGTTTTTTTCACCATTTATACTCAACCACTTGTCAAGGAAATAGTTAAATATGACTTAAAATACCATTTCTATGCTGATGATACCCAAATTTATGGTTCAACATTGTTTACCAACTTAGATGAACTTGTCCATCGTGCTGAAAATTGTATTGCCTTAGTGAAAAACTGGATGAACAAAAATAAATTAATGTTAAATGATAATAAAACAGAAGTCATTCTGGCAGGCAATGCAAAGTCTGTTAAAGAGGTTGACCATGATCACATTAAAATTGGTGATGCAAAAATTTTATTTTCCAGAAAAGTTAAGAATCTTGGCATCTATTTGGATTCTAGTTTGTCAATGTCGGCTGAGGTAAATCATCTGATCAGCTGCATGTATTTAGAAATAAGAAAAATTAGTAAAATACGTCATCTGATCAATACCAAGTATACTGCTTTACTAGTAACTAGCTTAATTTTATCAAAACTCGATTATTGTAACTCCTTGTTATCAGGAATATCACTGGAGAAAGTTAAAAGACTTCAAACTGTCCAAAACAATGCAGCACGTTTAGTTTTACGGAAAAGAAAGCGAGACTCTGCTAAACCTCTTTTACGAACTTTGCATTGGTTTCCTGTTGAGAAAAGGATTGTGTACAAGTTGGCCACCATATGTCACAAATGTTTGAATGATAATGCACCATCATATTTATCAAATCTGTTAAGACTACATTCCAACTCGCAGTTTAAGATCATCAGCTGACAAAAAGAAATTTATTTTACCATCTATGAAACTTTAAACAATGGGTGAAAGGGCATTTGAATACCAAGGTCCCAAGATCTGGAATGCTTTACCAAGTACGTTGAGAGAAATCAAATCTTTTGATTCATTCAAATGTCAGCTGAAGTCGTTTCTGTTTTTAAATTAATAAGATGAATATTTGGAATAATTTTCTTTAGTCAGAACACAACGTTTCATGTTACTGTTGTATGTTGTACTGTATTGTAAAGCGCTCAGAGCCTGTGTACTTTATTCGGGGTTGAGCGCTATATAAATGTCATTTATTATTATTATTATTATCACGTGTGTATGTGTCATGTGTATCTGTGTCATATGTGTGTGTGTGTGTGTGTGTGTATCTGTGTATGTGTCATGTGTATCTGTGTCGTGTGTGTGTGTGTGTGAGAGAGATGATGTGTATCTGTATCACGTGTGTATGTGTCATGTGTATCTGTGTTATGTGTGTGTGTGTGTGTGTGTGTGTGTGTGAGAGAGAGATGATGTGTATGTGTCGTGTGTGTGTGTGTGAGAGAGATGATGTGTATCTGTATCACATGTGTATGTGTCATGTGTATCTGTGATATGTGTGTCTGTGCTGAGTAGTACAGTCGTTTTGTTTCTACTCTTTGATTTAAAATGTTAGCTTTTATTAAAAGAATTGTTATTAAAAATTTGTCTTTCTAATACCTATTCTTTCTCTTCATTTCTGAAGCCCAATTGTCTTGATACATGTACTCCTACTGTGTGTGTTTTTGTGGGTTGTAGGGCGGGGCTTTTTTTGTTTATTCTTGGTCTTTTTTTGCCCCTGTTGACACAGTTTGTGAGTGGTTGGCAGGTGCTCTTGTGTGGTTTGCTCCTTCTTTCCTATCAAACAGTTCGTCTTTATCTCTCCTTCTTTTTTATGTTTGTTACTCTCTTGTAACACCTCTAATCTTTGGCACTTATGTGACTTTATTGTGTTGCAAGTGCCGTAAAACTCTTACTAAAACTAAACTAAAACTAAAACTAAAACATCTATCATCATCCGTATCTCCCCTCCTTCTTTTTTGTGTTTGTTACTGTCTTGTAACACCTCTAATCTTCGGCATTTATATGACCTTATTATGTTGCAAGTACCGCAAAAAACTTACTAACAAAAATTTTCAGCGGCACAGGTTAGATCATTTTCAACCACGTCTGTAAGGGCCGGAGCGGATACAAATTCCCAACCGAAAGAATGAGATACTCCATAAAAATACTCCGCACAGGGGAACTGAATTCAGATCTTTTGCATGTGATGGTGAAGTGCCTAACCACTACTCTACAGACGCTGGTACGACAATGGATTTTCTTAGTTTGTGTTGAAAGTGGAGTTATACCATAGATGTGGATGGTGAGGGGAGGGGGGGGGGAGAGTGCCTCTTGTTGGTTCTACTTTTTTCTGTCCCTCTGATGTTTTTGCCAGTCTTTCTTTTCCCGCGCACTTGAGTAAATGACTGTGCCAATGTACTTCTCTATATGTATTATAACAAAGCCGCAACAACCTAGCTGGGATTGGAATGTTGCCTTCAGCATCATGTTTAAATCTTAATCTTAAGGTTTCGGTTTTTGGGGGGTTTTTGTGAGTTTTTAAAATTATTATCATAGCGTGTTTTTCTTTAATTACAAAGAGGCACATCAACTCAGTCATTTAACGCAGGGGAAAAGTAGGACAGACAGGAACAACAGAGGGGGGGAAGCTATATAAAGTTGGGTACTTATAACACGAACACAGTAAACAAAACATCACAAGGATAGCTCTTACATTCTGCCATTTCCCGACTGATACTGATACCCCCATAATATATATAGATTTTTCTCTCTATATATATATATTTTTTAATTTATTTTTTTTTAAGGGGGGGGGGGGGGTATTTTACGGCGTTGGCAACTGCATAAGGTCATGTGAGAGCCCGGGACACATTAAACATTTTCAATTGGTAGGAAATTTTGAATTTTGCCCGTGTGGCCGCCGAAGCCTGCTCTTATCGATTTTGTACCACCGAAGGATCTTTAACGTGTGCAACGTACGCACGGAACCTCCGAGATTTTTCGCCCTTGTCCGAGAAGGCTAGGTGTAGATCTTTCGTACCATAAGATCAGGGGTGAGGTTGAAAGACTGCAGTAAGAAGGAGCCGAGGAGTGGCAGTAGAAAGGCTTCGGAAAGAGTCAGGGGCCCTGAGGAGGGGGCAAAAGAGGTGAGGGGGTTGGGGCAGAAAGTGGAGACGAAAGCGGACGAAAGAAATTAAGAACATAGCTAACTAGAGAGCAGGAAAGGACTCAAGGAGACAATTTTAGAGAAGAAAAATGTCCGTCGCTATCAGGATTCGAACCCGGGACCTATTGAATGAGAGTCGAGCACCTTAACCCCTAGGCCACGAGAGCCCCCTAATATATATTATACAGCTTACCACAATTATTGATGTGTCAAACACATTGTCAATCCCCAGCGTGAAGTTAACCGTGCCGGACTGTACTGTAAGTTGAATCAACCAGGGGCGCCCTCTTACCACCCGCGTGTTAGGTTACTATTCTAAATACCTGGGGGGGGGGGGGTTGTTGTTTTTTCTTAAACGACCTTTTACGTACCAAGGCAGAACGACGTATCTGCACTTTTTATGACTTTGAGTTACGTCGCGCTGCCATTGGAAATATGAGCATGGCCGTCAGTTACGTCTGTTTGCCATAGTGAAATATCCTATTTGTAGTGCAGATACGTCTTTCACACAAGATGTAGAATGGGTGTAGGCATCCATTTAAATGAAGATTAATTTTTGCAGAGACGTCGGTATGCCTTAGCATGGCAATAGTACTACAGAATGCAAGTCATTTAAATACCAACATCTAAAAACAAAAAACGGGTTTGAACCAGAATCGCCTTTTTTTTCTTTTTTGATAAACTTTTTAAACACATGTCCTCCCGTCTGAAAAGTGTTAAATTGTCGTGGTTTACAATAAAAACATGTTTGGGTAAGGATGTGTTTTATGTGAATTTTTTGGGGAAGACTCCTCATGTCAATAGTATTTAAAGTTTATTAATAAAAGAACAAACTCGTCGGAGACACTCATGAACCATGTTTATTCAAAGTAGCAAGGCATAAGTCCAACAACTCAATTTTATTATCAGAAATTAATTTTAATATTAAACGAGCAGAAAGTCTTGAGACGAGAGAGATGTTTCCCCCAAAGAGAGAAACAACACCTGAAAACTCTGTAGGTAGGAAGTGGCGCGGTCATAATGGAGTATGTGCAAAACGTTAATTTAGTCATACATGTACTTCAAACTTGCCGTTGGTCGATAAATTATGTTGATTTTTTTGCTATAGTTTCTTGGGTTTTTTCTGTATTGCGTAGGAAGGCCACGAAAGATATTGTACTCTGTATTTAGTTTGATTTACCAGTTTGTCTAAAACGTATTTTTTTCACACGCACACACACACACACATGATGATTTCTTTAGCCGTAAACCAGGCAAAATAATTGAGACTTCAATTTGAAAAACTAAAAAAAGAAACAAAAGGCACAGCCTGGTGATATCATCTACGTGTAGGTCTACTACTTGACTACTGACAGTGACACATCTCTGAGACCAGGAGGAACAGAGTGCCTGTGAGACACTCACTCAGACACTTCGTCCCTGTGGGGCTAAGGCAAGGATCGAACACTCTTTGGTTAAGGGGAAAGGGAGGGGTGGAAAGGGGGCGGGAATATCAAAACATTTCTGACACTTGACTTTGTACCAGAGCAGTGTGGTAAAAAAAAAAAGATGGGGAAAAAACACGATATTCAGGCTCTGTGGATTAATTTGTTTACGTGAAATAAATATAAAGCAATATTTCATAATACTCGGAAACGGGTAAAATCTGAAAAAAAACGGAACGGGGGGGGGGGGTAGTCATTGGTTGCATGCTGTCAATACTGGAATAACACGTTATCAGATCTTAAAGAAAGTGGGTAAAAATATTGGAATAAATGGATTGAGAGAAAAATAAATAGAGATTGGGAGTGATGTTCATCAGATTTGTCAATGTCATTATCCTGTTCAAACATTATGACGCACTTTAGACGCCGCATACCGATCCCAGGATAATAAGTTTCTTACTTGGATTGTTTTTGTGTTTGGAGTTTGGGTATCTGTGCCCTCCCTCTGTACTCCCCGCTCCATTATATTATGTAGAAGTTAGATCTCCTTTTCTTTTATTTGATGAGATAAAACCATGCAAATTGTGTCCTTCATTTTTTAGGCGATTTATATAATGTATATTGAGAGAAAACTTTGAACTAGTACAAACGGAGTATGATTGAGAAAGAATCTTGTTATTCTGGGGTCGCAAGTTGCTCTATTGAACAATCATTATCGATGATATTGTTTAGAGCAAGCATCTTTTTGGAGCCGTAGGGTGGGTTTTTGATAAGTAAATGACGTATTGTATTTTGGGTGTTTTTCACCTCCCACCACCCATGGATTGTCATTGTGCGTAAGATAGTGAAAAAGGATCTGAGTTGCAGGTACTATGAGTGATGAGGTATAATAAATAAAGAATGAATACCACTTAATAATAACAATAATAAGATTTTTTTTCGTGGTTTTTAACCTATCGATATCACATAGAATGTTTAGCCTAAAAGGCAAAAGGGTAGGGAATATTCAACAACAAGAATAAGAATATATTTGGAAAAATTCAAATATGTAGGGCTTAAGTTATATCTAAACAGAAACAACAACAAAATGGGAGAGGGGTGGGGGACAGCATAAGCTGCACAGATAACGAAATTATTGCATTCAAAAAGTGTGATGAAAAATAAATAAAAGTTGAAGTAGGAAGGTAACTCGGGAAACAGAACTACAACGAGATGATGTGTGGAAGTAGAAGACTGTTGGACAGGTCGAAAATGATCGCAAGGTTTACAAAATATACAAGACGTTCTGGGGGTGACAACGACATGTTCATACAAAACCCATCGCAATCCCACCAAGACGTGAAATATTGCACTACTAAATCACTAAATGTTGCAAGCAACATGAAACAACAATACCTTTCCTTCGGTGAAATTTGAAGAAAGAGTCAGAAGAAACGGAGCAAAATAACAAAGAATATAATGAGGCCCCTGGTCATACATGAAGGACATGTTTGCTCATGGGGTATAGGCACCGTGAAATAAAGTAAAGAAGAAACAGAAAGACTTGCACAACAATCAAGAGGACGTGTCATACGATTCTCCTAGTCCTAAATATGTAATGGGCTAGACTTTTTTAATAACCATAGCGTGTTTTATCTTCTGTTATTAATATAAAATGTAGCCAGGTAACCACATTTCAAGGAATTTAAATATAATCCAATCAAAATCATATGAATTACCTGTACGCGTACTTAACACAGTCTTCTGGGGAAAAATATCATCAAAGCTATTCTTTTTTTTGTATTACTCAAAGACACTGCAGTGTTTCTTTTCTGCACAATATTGTGATATCAAACACGCAAGTAGACGAAACGCCACCAGAGAATCGCGTTTAATATATTATATACAATACCGGTACAGGTACTTCTAGAACCCTCCTGTTTGTGAATTCAGATGGTGATTGTTACAAGCTTTTCTTTGATTCTATCGCTTTCACTGCAGACCAATTTTAATTCAGAGTTGTTATACAGTAACCCATCCATAAGACCAATAAACAGTCAATTAAGGAAGAAAATCCTTAAGGAAAATAATATGTAATGGTATTCCTTCTTGTTGCATAAAATTCAGAATAAAGTGAAAAGCGTTGGACCAGCCCAAAGTTCTAGCAAATTCCCCATGTATGGAAGACGAACACAACGAGACGTTTATTTTGGTGTCGCGTGAGTGTGTGAAGAAGTAAGAGTTAATGCCCGAAAGAAGACCGGAAGTTATTGCTCTCCGAATGTCTTCTGGATCGTCTGTCCTTGAGCCTGGAGATAATCTGATCTCTCCTGCTTGTTCCTGTCGAAGATGGACGATGGCTTGCCTCCAGCAGCTGGGGACAGCAGACGACAGAAATCGTAACTTCCGGTGACAGGAAAACAACTCAAAATAATAGATGTAGATATGTTACTATAAAAGAAAATACAAGTTGGTGCATTGTTTTCTGACAGAAGGGCTCGAACTCAGTTGGCCGCTGCATCGGTAAAGTAAAGTAAAGTAAAGTAAGTGTGCTGTTTTTAATATCTGAAATCCCGAAGGGTTGTGTCATAAATAGTCTGTTGTCACACCAATTGGAGCTGCACCTCAACTCCCCAACCCCATATCCCAAAACCACACA